AATTTCGTCAGTCTTTTGACAATCCAAATATGAAAGATATTCATTTGTATCTGTGTGTGTTGATAAAGTTCCCTTCTTTTGTGTATGTGAATATTTAACACACGCTTGATTTGGTTTGTTTGTTTAATGGCATATCAACTCCTTATGGGTCATTTAATGCTGAAATTTTATTTTCTTGTGAGCTTTGGTAATTTTTTTTCTTTTCCAAAAATGTGTTACTGGTAATATTTTTTTTCCAAAAATGTATTGCTGGTAATTTTTATAATGTATTTTTATATTTTCATGTTTTGACCCCAGTTCACTATTTACTGATAACTGGGACCCTAACAGGTGCTACCAGCCTGGTTCAGGGTGAACCTGGGAATGACAGCAATTAAGAGGTATTTAATACATGAGATCATGTTTATGTTGAAAACATATGTGTAAGTATCAATAGTAGCAGTAATACAAAGTTAACGAATGGCAATATTTATGCTTTTCAGCAAGAAGAACAGCTCAAGATATGAACTATGATTTGGAACAATTCAGAAATTTAAATATCCGGGAAATGTCTTAACAGATAATAATGTAAAGGGAGAGGTACATGGAAGAAGGTTTATTCTCCCATTTGCATTTCTCCTGTTATGGGCATTATTATATCTGTGAAATAATAACAATGTAATTCATGGACAGAATGCTGAAAAGGAAAAGGAAGGACAAACATGCTTTGTTCTTAGAGAGACTTTTATACCACTAAGACATAAACAAAACTATATATATATATATATATATATATATACGTGTGTCCCACACAAAGAAAAATATATCACATATATTTATGCGGCAAAGCAGAGTTTAAGAAGAAACAAAAAGGAAGGGTCCTTACATATAATATGGAAATTCTACTGTGTTTCAAGAGAAGCCATGTTTAGGACTCCAGATTCAAACAGGCTGGATTCATCTACTATATCCCAGATGACGATATATTGTATGAAGGAGAAATGGTGAGTCTTGGGTTTTCCCAAATTGAGGATTGCAAGCTGGAGTTTCTTTCTATATCTGGGAAAGATATATTCCCAAAGGGAAACAGCACCATGGACTTGTAAGCTGCAGAATTTGCTGGTGAAGGCAGATTTAGGCTCAGCCCAGGCCCCTTGGCCCAAACTAAAAAAGCAACCACTCAGTTTTGTTGCTGTTTACAAACTGAATGACTGCTGCTTTTGTCACAGTATGGAGTAACATCACAAAGTGATAATCCCATGACCCATGTGACTTATCTCCTCTAAAGGCAGATAATCGCTTTCTGTATTCCTATGAAGGAAAATGTGACACAGAAATCCAAAGATGCACTGTAATAATGAAAGATGCCTTCCAAAAACTAAAAAATATTAAAACATAGGAAAATTTCAATAGAAACAAAGAAAAGAGTACTAAACTGTTATGGAATATCAGTCCTCTATGGCAGTGAATGTTGGACAATCTCCTCAGAAATGAAGAAGTAACTTGATGCAACAGAAACATCATTCTACAGAAGATTTAAGGAAAATGGAAACAAAAATGACACTTATGCTTAAAATCAGAAACAGTTGTCATTTCTAGGGCACATAATGAGGAAAGAGGCCTTAGAAAATTTGACACTCACAGGACATATGAAGGCAAGAGGGACAGAGGAAAACAGGTATATCCAATGTAACAAGCTTGTTGGCAAAACAGGGATTAGGAGAGATAGTAAAAAGACTAACTTTACTAAGAGCTACAAAGGACAGGAAATTGTAGAGAGCCATGATTGCCTACGTCCTGAAGGGACACAGCATGTAGAAAAAGAAAGTTGATATATTGCTATACTCTTGCTAGTTTATTTATTAGTACTTATATCAGTCTTGTAATGATCATCATCACGCACATACATACATATTTACACAAATTCAAATTATACAACCACAAGCATTCATTGGATAATAAATCAACACTACTGTGTAATGGACAATTTATAAATCGCAGTTAGGTGACAATTTTATAATCACTATATTTTCATGTAGTTGATTTTGTGCACTTTTGGGAGAAGTGGATCCCAGAGGCTTTCTTAGGTCTCCCCAAAACACACTTGCTAATTGGTCAATAAACACACAAGTGGGCGTTGCAATCCACCCACGTACAATATATTTTTCCAGCGTGTGACTAAGTCAAATTTCCCACCAAGGTGCTGTGATCCTGTCACGTGATTATATTATCTATAAATAGCAAACACGAGTCTGTCTCTTTCTCTTTTTTCTCTCTTCTTACTGCGAAGATGTGACCTTTAAGAATTATCGTCTCGACCATGTGGTTAGATGTTAAATAATATTTCATGCATTCACATACGTGCAAACTCTTACAAACTTTTCCAATCTTCTCACTCACACCACCACTCACATCCTGAATATACCCTATACTCACATAATCTTTTTCCTTACACAGCAAAACTGTTGAAAACATTTATTACCAGAAACTATCACAAACTTTCTTTCAGTGAACTTTGGAACACAAATAATAGTTAAAGAGAGACAACTCTTGTTTTACTCAATGCATGCCTTTCTTTCACATCCTTGTTTGTACATCTTGTTAAATACAAATTTTATGTGTAATGATGTCTTTGGCTTATTCTTTTGTCTTCACGTCAGTTTGGTTTCCTAATCTAAGTTAAATTAATGTGGTGAAGTCCGCTACAGTCTTTTTTCAATAACATAAATTCCCCAGTCCCCACTGCTTGTCCTGTAAAGGCATCAAGTTGACCAGTCCTTTGCTGCAAAGTTGCAATCTCCAGAAGCCAGACATAATCTGGTCCTTTTTATTCTGTTTTGTCAAGAAGAATTAGATTGATATCATCATGATTTTGAGAGCTGTTTCAACTTGAAGGCATGCTGAAATATCAGGATGATTTCTCATCAACAACTTTGTAAATAAGTCTTATTAGTCCTCTCTAAACTTCCCTGTGTTGTGTTAACTCATGAAAGTGATGGAATTCTACCTTTCCAATGCTGTTGTTCAATGTATATACTATGGTTGTTTGCCCAATGTCTATTGATGTTATTATTCAATTTGGTATTGATGACAAAACCTTTCCCATAACATTTACTGTTTCCAAAGCTATTAACTTGTGCTGTCTAACTCCAATATTAATGCCAAATCCTTCTTTGATTTTGGTTTCTTTGAGACAGCATGCAGTAAGTACCACCGAATTGGATGTGCTTTTTTGAAATGAAAGAAAAAATTCACTTTTCCCGTTTTTAAAAAAGTGCCAAAAATCAGGGAATTATTTGATTCAAACAAAATTTTCAGTACTTATTTGTTAATGAATGAGTTGTATACTAAGTAGAAAACTTTGTGGAAATATTTTTGGGAGCCTGTTTCAATCCTCCTTCTCAATATCTCGTGTGCACTTTTCAATTTGGGTGCTATTTAAGTAAAATATTTATGCAATATCAAGTGTGATCATAATGAAAATGTGTTCCAAATCTTACCAAAAATAATTTAATAAAACTCAAAGAATAAATATTTTGAGAGTTGGTGCATGCATAATCTACACTTAATATTTAAGAAAAAAAAAATACTTGCAATTTTTCATTGTGATTTTGAAATTCATCCCATTGTAATAAGAGCTTTTTTTTTAAAGATATGTTTGAAAAATGTCAAGTTTAATGTCATTTTCAAGTGTGAACCATTTTTAAAAGAATTTAATTTTTTATTTTTTTTTCATTTTGGCAACTGTTAGATTATTTTTTGTATGGATATTCAACAAGGAAATAATTCTCAATCATCGTCTTTGAATGAATACTTATGAATGATATATGATAATTCAATAACTTTTAAATTAAGAATAATTAAAAAAAAAACAGTGGGTACAATTAAATATTTTATGACATCAGACAGGTAAGAAAATAAAAAAAATAGAAGCAGTGTATTAAACTTAAAAGTATCATTTTAAAAGAAAAAACAACAACAAAAAAACTAATTATATCGTATAAAAATAAAATTATATTATTGTTGGTTATATAAAGTTAAAGATAATCTATTTTAGAACATAAATACCAATTCCTTAATTATTGCACTAGTGTTCTGTATTCTTTTACGTACTTTTTAATTTTTCGCGCACTTTTTAAAGAAGGGGTGACATTAGAAAATTAGAGTTGTAACTTATAACATCACAGGCTACCGTGCATAAATAAACATTATTTTCATTGTTTTAACTAAAAAAAATTAAACATTACGTTTATAATAATCCAGTTAATTAATCTTTAAATTTACTAACTGACTTTGAAACACATCCCTAAGGCAAATATTGCATTTTTAAGAGATTTTTAAATTTTTGCTGCTTCAGCTTGTTACATTTTCTGTTTTCGTATATAATGGTGTTTTTATGAGTGCCAATGCTTTTAAAATGCATCAAAACTTTATTTACACAGAAATTAATTTTTCTTTCAATACAAATTAGCCTTTGGGTACCTTTCAAATAAATCCAAAATTTAAAAATTTGACATCAAAGATATTAATTTAAAATGTAAATTAATATTATCTAAAATGCGTTTGTCGTTTTTGTTTTAGGAAGTCCGTGGCGGTACCTAACATATATATCAATGTTATAATAACTATCAACATCCCGAGACACCTTTTTCGCCAAATACATTGATAATATTGATACCAATCCTGGAAAATAGGGTTTCAGGCGCGTCTAAGTGAGCTGCGTCCATGATCCCATGTTTTGGGCGCACATATATGAATACTCACACTAAGTAAAACAAGAAACTAAATAAGATTTGAACAGCCAACATTGATTTTAATAATGAACCTTACAAGTACTTAAAATAAAAAATAGTGTCAGTCTTTAGTGAACTTGATATTTAGCACCGGGTAGGCGTCTTTCCTGCTGCTCCATGGTAACAAGATCCCAGCATGCATTGCGAGCAAAGTATTAATATGGCGGTGAAATTCGGAATGTGTTGATGTCGGCACGGGATGTACTTTGGTAGTTCTCGGTCGACAGGATGGATTTATCCAAACTTCCCGATTATCGACGACACCTTTCTAACCAAGGTAAGCCAAAACAATTTGATACTTTTGGTTTCTGTTGAAATATTGCTAATTGGGATGTGTCCATTTTTTTGTCGTAAATTTGAATGTGGTGGTTTTGTTTTGTTTGTTTTGATTAGAAAAGTTGACAATCTTTGTTGACCATCCCACAAAAAACGGATATTAGGGAATATTTTTTCATATTTTAAAGAATTTAAATAATTTTCTATTGCTATTCTAGTGTCATGTTTTATTTATTTGTTTGAATCTAATGCCTCTAGTATTGTCAATAAACGTTAATTGCACGATTAATTCATTGTTCTGTAGTGGTTCGTTATTTTCTTTTAGGTTTAGTTTTTCTTTTTACACTTTCAAATGCCATCTGTGTCTTATTTCGATAATTTGTCAAAATAATCCTCCTTTTTGTGGTTGTCATAAGATTCAAACAAAACAGCTTTTTAAAATTTAAATTTCAGATGAAGCATTGATTCTAATTCAAAATATTCAACATTTTTCCATCACCTGCAAATACAAAATTTTTTTTTAAATCTAAAACTTCTATGAATAATCAAAATTTAAAACTTAGTGAAAACGTTTTATTATTGTTTTAAAATTTTTCAAAAAATTGCATAATTGTGTTGACTAATCAGCTCTTAAACTTTAACTATTTTTATTAAACAATGCTTATTCTTTTGGGTAATAAAAAAATAAAGTAAAAAAGACATTTTTTTGTCACTTGTAGATTATTGAAAAGTAAAACATTTTTTTAATTTTAATTTTTTAAATCACTTTTTTTTTTTTTTTTTTTTTTTTTTTTTAGTTATTTTTTACCTCTCTCATAAAAGGCTAAATAATTGACGATTAAAGGTGATGCTGAACTGAAGTTAAAGACATTAAATTTATCTTCTTTTTTTTTCTTTTCTAATAATGTGTTTTTTTTTTGTTCTACATTGTTTTGGTTTTGAAAATTTTACTTTATTTTTTTAATTTGATTCGTTTTCTACTGTTTCTCAACCCATTGCAGGATATTTTAAACTAAAGACAGAAAATATCTTTATTGTAAGAATTTTTTTTTAGATAATGATTTTTAAAAGTTCTACTAATTTATTTTAACCAATATCTGGGGGAAATGTGGTGGATTCATATCTTTTCTAAGGGTATTTGCACATAAGTGAATATAACGAACCCAACTGGAATTGGAATCCTAATTAAAAATTTTGAGCCGTTATCCATACACCACCCACACGTCCAAGCTTAGCACCTGGTATTCGCAAGTGAAGTAGGTCATCCATGTCAGCACTGACCAGGCTTGATGTAACTTCGGTGATCATACGAGAACCGGTGTTTCAACATGATGTGGCCGTAATTTTTTATTTTTTTTAGAAAATGAAAAGATGTTTGGATAGATTTTTCAGTGTTCAGTAATTTTATTTTTTTTTTTTATCCCATAGGTAATTTACTAGGATTTAATTTAAATATTCAAGTTAGTGTAATAATTATGTTTATTATTTATTAACATCAGCCAAATTGGCGCTATACATTTTTGCAGCCTCTTGTCACACACACACACACACACACACACACACACACACACAAATGCTATACAAACTCTCATGTTTTCAATCGAGAAACTCAACAACGTGTTTTCACTTTAATACAAATTCAAGAATCAAAATAGCCATTTGATGCCAAAAATGATAAACTCTGCAAGTGCAAAAAAATCATCCATCATATATTTTTCTCCGTGCAAACAAAGATTAATCGATTTCCACTACGCACCCAGGCCTATCCAGTTGCTCAGGGTGATTATGGAAGTACGCAACTGGGGTGGGGGTTGTAAAAGTATAAACCGCTGTTGTCCTTTAAAGTGTAAAATGAATGTGTTTTTTTACTCATGTCCCTGGCGGGCCTGGAGTTAATCATTATCACATTTATTTGGCATATTTATTCATTTTTATTAGATTCAAAACATCGACTACCGATAGTAAACATTTTTTAATGCCTAATGTTCAGTCCCTGTGAGAATAGGTAATGATAAAAAAAAATTGTTATTCTCCTTTGAATATCAAGGAAACTAAGAAGTGCAATTTAATTATTTTTAATTTTAAACAATAATACTTTTTTAAAATCTTTCACTTTTTTATCCTTCGCTTGTTCTCATAAATCTGGGTTTTCTTAAATCGCCCGTCTGGGTTGATCTTGTGATTTACAGACATGAGCAGTCTGTATCAACGACTTAGTTGAGTCTTTTTTATTTTAAACTGACTAGGACTTCATTATTCGCCCTTCCAATTGTTGTTTATTCTTACTGTTCAAGTGTGATATATGATTTTAAAGTAACATGTCACTGTCAAAAGAAAAACGTAGTTATCGCCCATCCATTTCAAATTTGTCTCCATATACAAACAGAATAGAATTCTAATTTCTAACACTTGAATTCGATGAAATTCTCATTTCAATTTTGTTTTGTTGCTTGAGGAATCTAAAGACGTGGTCATCATGATTTGAGGAAAGGTTTTCTCGATTTATTTTATCTTTGAATAGTTTAAAATAAAAAATGTTGACAAATATTAGTTACAGCCTGATTTCATGAAGGTTTAAAATTTCTAAGTTAAAAATGTTTTACACAGTAGATTTTATTTTTAGGTAAATGTAAACATGTTGATTTGAAGTAAAAGTTAGTTGATTATTGCTTGAAAGATGGGAAGTAACTCTCATCTTCTTACTTTCAGTACAGTGGCGGACAAAAGAAATGAGTCACCTGGTTAAGAAACTCAATTTGTTTAGGTGTTTAGTTTACCAAGAAGTTGTAAGCGTTCGATAAAGCAGTTGCATTTAGACACAATACACGGAAAAAGAATGTATAGTGACAGAGAAAATACGACACGAAAAATTATGAGTAACAAGAGAAATGTAACTTTATTTTTTTGGGAGCATTAATAAAATTAAATTAATAATAATTACTACTTACTTACATTGTCTAGAGACTACACAGCCTCAACACAATTTGAGATGGAGGTCAGTACTGTGTGTAGTCCAATCTTGTAACACTAAAAGGTTTTCGGCTATTTGTTGCATAAATGGCAAAGTGCTTTGTCCTGATGGAAAATTTCACCATTTGTTATCTGGTAAGGTAACAGATGAGATTTTATCAAAATTTCAGGAAATTTATTCAGGCTGAAAACATTTCAGCAATCTGTCGTATTTTTAATTGAAATTACATTTTTAAATATTATTTAACAAAAGTTTCATAATTAAAATTAATTTTTATATTTTTTTTTTTTTTTTTTTTTTTTTTTTTTTGCATATATAGGAATTCTTTCAACTAATTTTTTAATTTTATTTTTGTTAAATTTGACTATAACAGCTGTTCATAACTGAATAAGGTTTTAGTTTCTAGTAGAGATGTCAATTTGGAAACTGGGGAAAAGATATCTATTGAAGTCCATGACCCAGAGGCTATGGTAGAAAATGATTCAACCTCTCCAGTCTAATAACTCTCTACATGCTCAGTGTTATGATTGGCATGATTAAAAGAAAAAAGGCTTGATAAATAGGTTACATTTGAATTGATTGAAGGATATCAATATAAGATTGACACAAGAGCCTGTGTTAATCATGTTTGTTTGTTCTTATTTGGAAAATTTCTCTCTTTTTTTTTTTTTTTTTTTGCCTCCAGAGTTTGGGCATAAGTTATAGACTTGAGCAGAGAATGGCAGAAAATAAAAAATTTTATCCACAAGCCATATTGTCTTATCAAAGAAAATTTTTGAAAAAAAACAAAACAAATCCTCTATTTAAAATTGAATGATGAATATAAATACACATTGTGAAATTCCATGTGCTATTCTCATAATTATAAATCATAATTGTTGTCATGTATTCATTCTCACAAGTACACAGTGTAATCAAGGAAAGATAACTACCCTCAGTATAGAACTCTTCCTATTTAAATACAACCTCATTTACATATCACCATATCTCTTGGATCCTGGAACCTTAGAGGCTTTATGCCTGTGGTAGATCTGTTACTTTTACAAGCCATTCCAGGAAGTGTACTGCTTGTCTCAGGGTGATTGCTTAGATTCCAATTTATGGGGGATCTCGGTCTTACCAGATCTTCTTCATTTGAATCTTCCTCATGTTCCTCATTATCACTAAACACACTCATTCTCACCTCCCTTTCATCCTTAGAATTTTGATGATCATCTTCATCCCTCTCTTCAGCACCAGGCTGGTCCTCCAATTCAATATTTTCTGGCACTCTTCACAATCTAAATTGGTCTTCATAAGTTAACACGCTCTGTCCATTTTTGTTCATACTGATGTATTAAATACTTTTTACACTACAAATTGTGCTTTCTCAGGACGTCTTTATTCCTCTTGTACCATACATTCTCATTTGTTGCAAAGGACATTATGGCGGCTCCAATTTATCTCTCCATCAATGCCGAGGGGCTTTGTATTCTACACGCATGAAAGATGGTCCTGTAACTTAAAAGCAATCTTGGTAGATAACTTTCTAGGCTTCAATTCCTTGGAGAGAATGCTTTCAATCCAACTTTCCTCATCTAGACCATCTTCTCCACAATTCTATTTGACTGAGGATGGTATGGGGGTATTTTGTATGGCCTACATCCATTTCGTGTTTACCATGTATATAAGCTTTCTTCAACAAACTCTGGTGCATTATCCTACACCAATGTTTTGGGTACTCTGTTCCTCAAAAATACTACTCTTAACACTTGTTTTACAGTACTTGCTTTTCTGTCTGAAACTTTGATCACTTCAGGCCGACCTGAATATGAATCTACTAATATGAAGAATAGGCTTACATCTTTAATGTATGTATGGTCCATGTGTACTCTTATCCGTGATTCCTTCTCTTTTGACCATGAATGAATCTTGGTATGCTTAGAATTCTTTATCTTTGCACACTTAGAGTATTTTCTGACATAATCTTCCCCGTCTCACATATACCCCAGTCACCAGTTTTGTAATTTAAACCTCAGTTGTGTGTTCAA